AACCCAGCACTTCTTGCTTTTACTGTCTGAGTTAAGGGTACCTACATTTACCCAGCTGGCAAAAAAACCTTAGAGTTATCTTGGATACCTGTTTTGTTTTTGTTTCTGTTTTTAAGATTTTATTTTTAAGTAATCTCTACACCCATTGTGGCACTTGAACTCAAAACCCTGAGATCAAGAGTCACATACTGTACTGACTGAGCAAGCCAGATGTCCCATCTTAGATACCTTTCATTCTTATATTTACTATCCAAGCCATCAACAGATCCTGTCAGTTTTATTTTATTTTATTTTAATATTTTGAGAGAAAGAGCACAAGCAGGGGAGAGTGGCAGAGGGAAAGGGAGAAGCAAACTCTCTGCTGAGCAAAGAGCCCAATGCAGGGCTTGATCCCAGGACCCCAGGATCATGACCTGAGGCAAAGGCAGATGCTTAACCAGCTGAGCCATCCAGGCACTCCAGTTTTATCTTTTTTTTTAATTAAGATTTTATTTATGTATTTATTCATGAGAGACACACACAGAGAGAGAGAGAGAGGCAGAGACACAGAGAGAATCAGGCCCCCTGCAAGAAGCCTGATTCAGGACTCAATTCGGACCCTGGGATCATGCCCTGAGCCGAAGGCAGATGCCCAACCACTGAGCCACCCAGGCATCTCCAGTTTTATCTTTAAAACATACCCAGAATCTGGGCAGCCTGGGTGGCTCAGCAGTTTAGCGCCGCCTTCAGCCCAGGGTGTGATCCAGGAGACCCAGGATCGAGTCCTACGTCAGGCTCCCTGCATGGAGCCTGCTTCTCCCTCTGCCTGTGTCTGCTTCTCTCTATCTCTCTCTGTGTCTCTCACGAATAAATAAATATAATCTTTAAAAAATAAAATAAAACATACCCAGAATCTACCCACATCTTGCCACTTCCACTGCTACCACCTCGTCCAAGCCATCATCTCTTGCTTGGATCACTGCAACAGCTTCCTGATTGATCCACATATTTATATCCTATGTGGAAGATTCTCCACACAGTAGCCAGAGTCAGACTTCCACTTCCTGCTCAGACATTTCTTTGTTTGTTTTCTTTTTTAAAAGTTTTCTTTTATTTTTTTTAATTTAAATTCAAATTGCCAACATATAGTATAACACCCAGTGGCTCATCCCATCAAGTGCCCTCCTTAGTGCCTGTCACCCAGTCACCTCATCCCCCCTCCCTGTTTGTTTTTTTTTTTTTCTGCTCAGACATTTCTAATGGCTTCCATCTCATTTAGTCCTTTCTCTGCCTCTAGAAACCTACTCTAAGGTCCATGTTACCTATGACCAAACATCTGACCATTTACCCTGGCTACCATATTTTAGTCCAGTGGATTCCTTGCTTTCCATCTGAAACATCAAGCAAACTTTCACCTCAGGATATTTGCACCTGCTATTCTGGCTGAAGTACTTCTCTTTAGATATGCCTATGGCTCTCTTTATACTCCTTCAATTCTTGGTTCTTCCCTTAACATTTCTGTAGACACAGGAAGGTGTTTGTTTTAATTTATTATTTAAATAGGTACCATGCCCAACATGGGGATCGAACTCACAATCCTGAGATCACGAGTCACATGCTTTGGGGTGTCTAGGTGCTCAGTCAGTTAAATGTTCAACTCTATTTTGTCTTGGGCCATGATCTCATGGTCATGAGATTGAACCCTGTGTCCAGGCTCCATGCTCATGCTCTCAGTCTACTTAAGATTCTCCCTCTCCCTCTGCCCCTCTCTCTGTTCTCTCTCTCTGAAACAAATAAAATAAATCTTTTTAAAAAAGTCTCATGCTCTGCCAACTGAACCAGCAAGGCACTCCCGCCCTGCTTCCTGTTCTGTGGTAGTTTTAAAATACCTCCATGAAAATATTGATACTCCTCCCTTTAAGAGGTGAAGACTAATTCCCTCCCCTTTGAATGTGGGCTGGACTTAGTTATGTAATTTTAACAACACATGGCAGAAGTGACTTGTGTGATTTCTAAAACCAGATTGTGAAAAGCATTGCTGCCTCTTTAGTCTCTCTTGGGTCACTGGGGGAAACCAACTGCCGTGTTGAGAGGGCGCTCAGGCACTCTCCTATCCTATGGAGAGGTCCACCTGGGGAAAACTTCCTACCAACAGCCATGTGAATGAGCCATCTTTGAAGTGGATCCTCTGATCCCAGTCAAGCCTTCATGCAGCTATAGCTACAGCCAACATTTTTATTACAATCTCATGAGAAATGGTGAGCCAGGGCACCTGGGTAGGCTCAGCCAGTTAAGCGTCTACTTTTGGCTCAGGTCATGATCCCAGGGTCCTGGGATTGAGTTCTGCATCAGGCTCCCTGCCCAGCAGGGAGTCTGCTTCTCCTTTTCCCTCTGCCCCTTCCCCCCTTCCCTCCTGCTCATATGTGCTTTCTCTCTCGCTAGCTCTCTCTCTCTCTCACTCTCTCTCTCTCTCTCTCTCATGCTCTCTCTCTCTCTCAAATAAATAAAATCTTTTAAAAACAACAACAAAAAGAAGTGGTGAGCCAGAACCATCCAGCTATGCCACACTAGGATTCCTGATCCACAGAATTGTGAGAAAATAAATGTTGTTTTAAGCTTTCTAAGTTTGAGTATAATTTGTTACAAGATAATAGGTAACATATATCCTTCCTTTTCTATTCCCTTCAATCCAGATTTATTTTCCCTATTTTAGTTATTGCCATCTGATATACTGTGTATTTCCCCCACTGGAATTACGCCATCATAATAAGGACTTTGTTTTATTTATTCCCATGTCCAAAAGTGTCTAGCATAAAGTAGGTGTTCAGTAAATATGTGTTGGATGAATGGAGGTCTACATCTGTCTGTCTTTGTGAGGTTTAGGATCAGATAGGAGCTAAATGAGGGTGTAAGAGACAGTCTTTCCTCTTCACAGATGAAGAGAGAGATAAACCAGGTGCCAGTCAAGCTTATTACTTCCCCTAGTTGTAGCTCTCCTGGCCCAGACCCCAAAGACAGATTTACTCTGCTAGATTGATGATTGACTCCTTTTGTCAGTAATTGGCCAATTCTTTGCCTGGGTCCTCCACCCCCTGCAAAGCAATCTTCAAACTCTCAGAACTGGAATTTCCCTAAGCCAGTTCTTCTCTTTCCAAGAAAACTCTTACCATCTATCTGTTTCCAGGCACCTCCTCTTCTCTGAGCAGTAGGGCAGGGGGTGGTGAGGAGTGGGGTTTAAGGAGAGCAAGCTGGGCACAGGAGTTCTGCAAAGCTCTACCCTCTGTCCTACTTCCAACGAAGCCCCTAGGGTATATTTGTCTGCTTCTGCACATTCACATTCTCCCATCTGGGTCCAGAGGAGAGGGCAGGACTCTCCCCAGGAGAACTCCTACCACACAAAACTGTGTGGGGGGTGGGCATCAGTACAGAAGGCAGTTGGATTACTAAGACTTCTTGAGAAGTCTGGGGTTTGACTGGCAATCAGATCTGAAATTTGAGCAGAAGGACACCAGAATTAGCCAAAGATGTGAGCAGTACTGGGTTTCAGTATGGCCAGAGATGGGCCAAAGAGAACAAGAACTTGGTGCTGTGGTGGAGTTTGGGCGAGGGACAAGCTTGGAGGCTAGAGACAAGAAGAGAAGGGAGGCGTCACCCACCACAAGAAGAGAAGTGAGAAGAGCTGATGACCCAGGCCAAGGCAAGCTGGTTTGAGAGGAGGGGACTAATTGGGAGAGGGGGGAGGAGGAGGAAGGAGGCAAAGTCACCCCTGAATTTGTTTCTTAGAGGAATCTTGGCCTTGGGAACAGTGTGCCCCACTGGGTATGGGGTCAGGGGATGGTCCCTGGTACTGGATCTGACATAGTCAAGTTTCATACTCATGCCAGGTATCAGATCAACAGATACAGGTTGTTCACTAACACATTTGGAATCACTTCTGGATGGCCCTCATGCTTTTGGTAGGTCCATCCCATTGGGCACAGGAAGGAACTGGAGAAGGTATGAGGGTGCTTGAGAGGAGTGGGGTTCAGGTTTCTCAGAAAAAAATTGTGGCCTGTCATTCAGGGCCCCTATATAGGATACATCATCTCAGCATCTGGGGATAACTGGGGGCAGAGTGGGCCTGGAGCAGTTGGCTGAAGGGATCTGGAGATACAAACTGTGGAGTCACACACACAAGGGTTGAGGATGTGTGTGAAGATTGACAAAATGCTAATAATCACTGTTGAAAGGTGTGATGGATACCAGAGGTTCATAATACCATTCACTCTTCTTGTGTATATGTTTGAAAATTTCCATAACAGAGGGTTACAAGAGCTATTAAAAAAAAAAGTGTCACTATGTATCTGTGTGTGGTGTGCACACCTTGCTGCTGTGGATGTGGAACCAGTTCAGAGACCTCTGAGTGTGTGAATGCAGATGTGTGAGTCCACCAGCATGGGCACGTACTGCACAGGCTGCAATGTGCATGCGGGTGGGGACAGCACTTGGGCTGGGCTGGGGGAGAAGCTTTTGCTCTGTGCAGGCCCTCCACATTCACCTCAGCATCTTGCAGTGATTCCCCTCATGACTACAACCTGCCCAGGCCATCGGCAGGCACTGTAGTGTCCGCTTGACAAAGTACGTGAGACAGGGCAAGCTGTGTGCCTGAACTTGTGACGGGGTGCGAACACGGCTATTTGTGTGTGAGAGCCGAGCTCTGAGTCTGGATTTGGGGGGCTCGACTTGTGGGTGTGGCGGGGCCCTGGTCCAGAGTCCTATGGTGTTAGACTCCTCACTCTCCTTTGAACGATTCCCAGCAGCTCTCCAGCGCCCCCTCCCCCCAGCCTGGTAGTACGGTGGGGGAAACACCTGTTGGGGGGCTGGGAGTGGCAGAGCCCCCCGGGGCCTCTCTCCCCGGCGCCCCCGCCCGCCCTGCCCCTCTCGGGTCCCGCCCCCGCGGCCGCGGCCAGCAGAGCCGCGCGTGAGCGCACCGCGGCCAGAGGAGCGCACGGCTGCCGGAGCGCACGGCCGGGGACCCCGCGCAGGGAAGCGAGCCGAGAACGGGGCTGCCCGAGAGGCGGGCGGAGCAGAGGGAGCGCCGTGGAGACGCCGGGGGCACCGGGGCGCGCCAGGCTGGTGAGTGCGGCCGCGGCGTGTGGGGAGCCAGCCCGCCGGTCCCGGGCTCTGCCCCCGCCGCCCTGTTCCCGCGCCTCCTCCGTGCGAGTCCTCTGCGCCTCTGCCCCGTCTCTCCGTCTGTTTTTCCCTGTCTCAGTCCCTGTTTCTATTTACAGTCTCGCCTTGTTTCTTTCTAATCTCTTCTCTCTTCAGTCTCTGTCTCCTGCTGCGTCGGGCTTTCCTTGTCTCTCTCAACCACTGTCTCACTATTTCTCTCTCCACCTCTGTCTCTGTCCCTCTCTCTGGACTGCCTGTCACTCCAGTCTTGTATTTATCTCTTGCTCCTCTTTCTTACCTTCCCTCTCTACCCAGTATCTCTATCAATCTCATTTCTCCCCACCTGTCTTTCTCTTCTTATCTCTGCCTGGTATCTCTGTCTCTCCCCACCTCTGTCTCTCATTGCCTCTAAGTCTCATCTCTCTTTCTATTTCTATATCTCTCCTGTCATTGTCTCTCCCTTGGACTCGCTCGTGCGCTCTCCTCCCCCCTTCCCCTCCCTTTCTCTGTTTCTTCGTCCTTGTCACCCTCTCTGATCTGCTTGGTCTCTATCTATCCTCTGTCAATGTTCATTTCTGTCTCTTTGGGTCTGGGCTCGTGTCTCTCCTGCTCTTTCTACTTCTGTCTCTTCTCTTCTTCTGTCTCTGTCCATCTCTGAGAAAGCTTTCTGCTTTTTTCTTATGGCCCCCGACACTTCCCTGAATCAATGACCACCTCCTCTTGTGCTGGGGGTTATGGGGACAGCAGGGCCCAACACTCATAATTCCCACCCCTACAGGCGGCCCTTTCCTCGGGGCCCCGCCTGGTGCCAGCCCCCCCACAAGCGGGGGGACTGCGCCTGGAAGCTGTAATGGAGGCCCTGCAGAGGCAGCAGGCAGCCCGACTGGCCCAAGGGGTGGGGCCATTGGTCCCTCCGCACCCACTGCCACCACCACTACCTCCCTTGCCCGGCCCCCGGACCCTACAGGCCCCTGAGGGGGCCTTGGGGGAGGTTGGGACAGAAGAAGAGGAGGATGCTGAAGAGGATGAGGAAGGGGAGGAAGCCGGGGCAGAGGAGGAGGCAACCGAGGAGAGCCATACAGGGACCCGGGGCCCCAGCTCACCTTCCAGCCAACCTCCTGGACCTCATCCCCATGAATGGACCTACGAGGAACAGTTCAAACAGGTAGGACCCCCTCGATGTCAGGCCCTCTCCCCTTTCTCCTCTCTGGGCAAAAGCAATGCCAGGTGATTCTTAACCCCCCTCCCCCCACTGCCCTCTGCAGGAAGGAAAGACAGAAACACAGAGACCTGTCTGGAAAGAGATAGTGGGACTACTGAAAGATAGATAGTGACAGGGAGGGAGAAACAGACATCAGGAGATGAGAGATCTGGAAAGAAGTGCGTAGGCACACACGGAAAGGTGCAGGAGACGCCCAGAAACATGGAGGCATGACAGACTGGAGGCTTTTGGTGAGGCTGGAAGGAAAAATGGAAGGAGTGTAAGTGCTTCAAAAATTCTTTTGAGGGAGTAGGGTCTGGGGAATGGGGATTCCAGTGCCAGAACCATCTCACCCTACCTCCTTACACATCAAATCACAAGGTCATATTTTTCAGCAACCAGTGGGAGGTTCCTGGGCTGCCTATTGCCATCTTGGGAAGCAGGCTGGAGGTTGCCACTTCTTTGGCAAACTGATACATACTCCCCTTATCTCTTCCTGGTCCTATCGCCCTCATCTAAATCCTCTCCTGGCCGGAGTTCTATGGGTGACAGTTTCTAGCCTGTGATGGCCTCTACAGCCGCAGAGTGACTAAAGGGCTCCTGTACAGCTGAGAATGACAGGATCTTACTCATAGAGCCTTAATTTGAGGTTCTTCCTCTCTGTGGGACCCATCTGGATGTTATTCTAAGGTGCTACTTCAGGCTGTCACTATGAAGGTATTATGAAGGGCTCTGACTCTAGGTGTGCTATTCTGGTGATGTTACTCGTAGGATGTTGGTCTTAGGTATTTTCCAGAGGTGTTCATCTGTGGCTAGTACTCTGTGGCATTAATGTAAAACTGGGAGAGTTATTCAGAGCTCTGTGGCTCTAGTGACTGTTTCTCCTGGGTATAATTCTGGGGGTTATTACTTGGAGAGCATATATGTTATTTGTGGGTATCCATCTAAGACTTTGGGCTCAGTTCTTGTGAGAGTGCAGGTCTAAAGTGGATCTCTGGGATTTGCTACTGATAGGTGGTTTTTTATTCTGAGAGTTCTTACTGGGGAATGGAGTGTTGTTACCTACTGGTGTTGCTCAGGGACTGTTATTCTGGGTAAACGACTGTTACTCTAGGAATTGTTTCTCCTGGGTTGTATTTAGGAGGTGATACTGGAGATAGGGCTCCAAGTGACTGGAAATAGTTGGAATGACCTCAGGGCCTTTCAAGTTCTGACCCCATAGGTCCTGGCTGTGCAGGGCCATTACCTCTCTGGCAGCCTCTGTGTGGATAGGTTACTTTCCCTAGAAAGAGATAGACCAGAAGGTAGGCTGAGGGGCCCCAGGTTTCAGTCCAGGAGCTTCTGAGTATCCATTCTGCCTGAGGGATGGGTTAGAGGCATCTCTGGCCCTCATCCCCAGCCCTGGTAAACAGAGATGTGAAAAGTAAACCTTTGTAGGAATGAACTAGAGTGAATGAGTGCCTCAGGGACATCTGTCAGTTTGCTCAGTGTAGTAGTGGTCCCAGCCTGATGTACTCCTTGAGGCTCTGTGCATGCCCTGGAGGGCAGGCTGAGAGCCTCCTAAGCTTCCTTTCATCCCCTATTCCTCAGAGGGATGGTTTGAGCTTCCCAGGGCACCCCTGGCCAGTGGAGGGTCTTTGTGATTATTAGAAAAAAGTGCCCTTACCTGCCCTCACAGGGAAAGAGTCTAATGCCAGGGAGTCCACGTTTCAGACCCTACTCACCCCTTCAGCTGATAACCCTTAATTCAGGATGTAACCTGAGTTGGGATCCCAGGGGGAGGAGGGGAGTCAGTGGAGCTGAAAAATGATCTCAGTCCTTCCCCAGCTGTACGAGCTTGATGCAGACCCCAAGAGGAAGGAATTTCTGGATGACCTGTTTAGCTTCATGCAGAAGAGGGGTGAGTGGGATGATGTAAGGGAAAGACCGGCAACTACCAGTTTTGAGGAAGGGAGACCCCAGGGTTTAGTCCCTAGGTTGGGTCCTCTCTGCAGAGGCCTGAGCTTGGCAACACCTATCCTTTGGGCCCTCAATAGCGTCTTTAACCTCTGACCTTGCCCCCCTCCTCCACCCAGGGATTAATTAGTGGCCAGCCCACTGGTAGGTTAATGAGTGTGGGATCAATTGGGAGGGTGGGAGGGGGAACTAGTGGGGGGCTGGCCTGGGGAGGGGGTTCCCAGGATTCGGGGGCTGGGAATACCTTGTTCCTCTCTCAGTGGCCTTTCGTCCAGCCTTGTCTCTCTTCAGCTTCCCCTTGCTTTAGGTAGGGGACACCCAGGTGCTCCACAGCAGGAAGGACTGGGATTAGACTGAAGGAAGGACTTCTCAAGGGGGTAGGCTGGGGACCATATGAGTTGGGGTTGTGGAGGAGGAAGAATTCCTTTCCAGGAATCTCAGAGCTAGAAGAAAATGCAAGGATCCAGGAGGAGATCTGGGTGGGTGGCAGTCCATCACTTAGGCTTCTCCCCAGATTCATGGGTCCAAAGACTGACTCATTATCTCTCTCTACAAAGCTAATTAACTCACTCGGAGCTTGGCCTGATAAGCCACTAATTAACTAGCTGCACTGCACCCCCCTCCCTTAGTGCAGCTGCTGGTCAAAGTCCCGCAGGCTCCCACTGCAGGCCCAGCACCCCTTTTGGGATCCTTTCTAACCAGGGACTCTCAGTGAGGACCCCTGTCTTTTTGCTTCGCAGAAGGCCCAGTCATTTTGGTTCCAGGGTCCCCTCCCTCTCCTTCCTCGAGGTCTCCCCTCCCCTGGGGAAGTGGGGCCGGGTTCTGGGCAGGTCCCAGCATTCCCTCCATCACCCTCATGCCAGGGGCTCTGCCTCCCTCTGGTCCCTGCCTCCCTCGGCTCCCTCTGCTGGGGGAGGAGGTCCCGCGGGACCGATAATTTCCCCCCATTAATCAGGCCGCAGCTAATTGTTCGGGTCCAAAGGCGGCGGCGGAAGGGGACGGGATCGGTAAGGAATTAACTGGGGCCCATCGCTCAGCGCAGACAGGCCCCTTTGTCAGGACTGGCCAGCGGGGGCGGCCTGAGCTGCGGAGTTGGCGAGGGGGGGGCTGCTGCTTCTCCCATCCGCCATCCCCGGTCTCAGGCAGCCATCCCGCGGGCCGCTGCTTAGGGGAGTCCAGCTCTTCAGCATTGTCAGGAAGTCCTTACTACGGTCTACCCCAGGGGTCTGCAAACTAAAGCCTGCAGCCGGCTGGCCAAATCTAGCCGCCTTCGAGATAAGAATGGTTTTTACATTTTTAAATAGTGGAAAGAAATTAAAAGACCACATTTCAGGACATGTGAAATTTGAATTTCAGAGTCTGAAAATAAAGTTTTTATTGTAACACAGCCGGGCCCATTGCTTTAAACATCCTCTAGACCTACTTTCAAGCTAAATGGCAGAGTGGAGTAGCTGGGACAGAGGCGGTTTGTCCCTCAAAGCCAATACTATTTACTGCCTGGGCCTTTAGGGAAGTTTGCCGACTTCTGATCTAGCTTCCTGTCCTTCCTGCTACAATATAGGGCTTGGCGGCTCTATGGGCTCTGCCTGGAATCCCACCTCCCCATCCCACCCTCTTCCCTTTTCTCAGAGGTCCCGCCCTGTACCCTGGCCTCTTCCAGGCAGCCAATTCTTTCAGTCCTTGAGGATGTCCGCAGACAGGGTCTTGGTCTTAGTGTCCTGACTCTCTGCCCACCTCCCACCAGGGACGCCAGTGAACCGCGTGCCCATCATGGCGAAGCAGGTGCTGGACCTGTACGCACTCTTTCGCCTGGTGACCGCCAAAGGTGGCCTGGTGGAAGTCATCAACCGCAAGGTGTGGCGGGAGGTCACGCGCGGCCTCAGCCTGCCCACCACCATCACGTCGGCAGCCTTCACTCTACGCACCCAGTGAGGCCAGGCTCGCGAGCAAAGGGGGCAAGGCGCGGGAGGGGGCTGCAGGGTTTGGAGGGCCCAGGGGCGGACGTTTCGTTGTGGGCTCCGTGGGCTGGGCCCAGCCTCCCACCCACCCCGCCTCGTCGTCCGCTCCTAGGTACATGAAGTACCTGTACCCCTACGAGTGCGAGACGCGGGCGCTCAGCTCCCCGGGGGAGCTCCAGGCAGCCATCGACAGCAACCGACGCGAGGGCCGTCGTCAGGCTTATACCGCCGCCCCGCTGTACGGATTAGCCGGCCCTACCCCTCGGGGACCTCCCGGCCAAATCTCCGCTCCTGGAGCCGCAGCGCCCGCGCCCACGCCCAGCCCCTGCCCTGCCCCCGGCTCCGCCTCCGGCCTACCCGCGCACGCCTGCGCGCAGCTCAGCCGCAGCCCCATTAAGAAAGGTGTGAGGGGAGAGGGGTTGAGGTTTGGGCATCTCTGAGACCTACTAGGGGTGCGCCGAGATATAGAGAACATTAAAATGCGGCGACCCAGAAGTCTGGGAGACATGGAGGTCTGCAGGCAGCCGGAGCAGTAAGGACTGACAGGGTACTGCGGTTTGCTGACCGCTCAGGTTTAGGGGTACTGAGGTTTGGAGTCAGTGAAGTTGTGGGTTACTGAGGTGTGGGCCTGAAGCTCAGGAAAATGCCCCCCCCCTTTTTTTGTTAAGGTTTTATTTATTTGTTCATGAGAGACACACAGAGAGAGGTAGAGACACAGGCAAAGGGAGAAGCAGGCTCCCTGCAGGGAGCCTGATGCGGGACTTCATCCCAGGACCCCAGAATCAGGACCTGAGCCAAAGGCAGACGCTCAACTACTGAGCCTCCCAGGTGCCCCAGGAAAAGGTCCTTTATCCAGAAGAGCTCCATTCCACATCTGTCTGTGTAGGGCTTCTATTTGCATGTAGTTTTTGCCTCCTGTGAGCTGTATTATTTAATAGCTAAGAACAAGGATAGGTCCCACATTATCTTGGAGATATATATATATATATATATATATATATATATATATATATATATACACACCCTTTGAGCTTTCCAGCTTCAGAGCCTCAAAGCTGAGACTCTGGATTGGGGGGTGGGGTGGGGATCAAACTCAGTGCTTGAGCTTGGGTGAACTCCATTTGTCCCAAGCCTGGGGGGAGAACCAAAGGCAGAGGCTGAGTTGGTTGGTCTAGGAGAGCTGAATGACTTTTTCTTCCAGAGGAAAGTGGAATTCCAGCCCCTCGACTGGCACTGCCTGTGGGCCTGGCTTTGGGGCCTGCAAGGGAGAAATTGGCACCAGAGGAGCCCCCAGAGAAGAGGGCTGTGCTGATGGGGCACATGGATCCACCTCGACCTGGAGCTCCCTCCAGTTTCCTGCCCCGTGGCAAGGTTCCTCTGAGGGGTGAGAAGGGGCTTGTTGCTGAGAGGGCTTGGGCCTGTGCACTGAGGGAGGACATAGGTGTTGGAGGTGGGGCAGAAAGATTCCACTATAGACAACTGTGTGATTATAGATGTCGGGCTGAAGTGGAATGGGGGCTATCTATAAGGATGGAGGGGGGAGCTTAAAAGTCTGAAGTCTGATTCCCAAATGTGACTCCCTGCCCCTCCTGGACAGAAGAGCGGCTGGATGGGCCTCTCAATCTGGCAGGAAGTGGTATCAGCAGTATCAACATGGCCCTAGAGATCAACGGGGTAGTCTACACTGGTATGGGTACTGCAGGCTATCTATACTGGCATGAGGTCAGGGGTATTTTCTCTGGCATGGGGATTTTAGATTTACTCAGCTAGCATGAGGTTCAGGGATATCCAAAGTTGCATGGATAATGTGGGGTTCAGGGGATTTGCTACAATGGCATGGGTTAAAGGGGTGTCTACAATGGCATGGGGTCTAAGGCATGACCTCTCTGGCATGGGTACCATGGGATGTCTGCCTTGTCATGGGCCTATGTACTAATGTAAATACTTCTTGTTTACCTGTTTGAGGGTATCTATATTGGCATAGGTGTCTCCACTGACCTAAGGGGCTTGTCCTCATTGGTTTGTGGCAGGGATATGTGTGGGGTGTTCTAACAATCAGAACACTGACTTTTGTTTTCCTCTTTTGTTTCTGTGCCTACCCACCTCCTGCCTGTGTTTTCCCTCCACCATCTCTTCACCCCTTTGTCAGGTGTCCTGTTTGCCCGTCGCCAGCCTGTGCCAGCTTCCCAGGGCCCAACCAACCCTGCACCTCCTCTCCCTACAGGGCCCCCTTCCAGTGGCTCACCCTGAGAACTCCCGCTTGGAATAAAGAGTCCTGGCCCCAATGCTGAGGGTTGGGGGGAGGAGACATCCCCCACAACTTGATTCTTCCAGGCTGCCCACTCTAGGACCCAGCCTTGGGAGATGATCCCTTACCCACCATGCCATGTAGACTTGAAGCCAAAGAGTTTTCTTTTGATGTTACATCTACCTCATTGTAACGGGAGAGCACCTCCTCCCTGGCCAACCCCAGCAGCATCTACCAGAGTTCTGACCCAGTAACCCTCATCATCTCCTCATGTGCCTCCCTGTGTCAATGTCATCTCTAGGACCCCACCTCTTCAGATCAGACCTGCTTCTCTTCAGAAGCCATGTGAAGGGTTAGGTTGGGTGTTGTGAAGGAGTCGATCCTCAGGTCACATCTGCATAATAAAGCTGCAGTCCCTCCCTCTCTAGTGCCTACTCTTCTTTTTGTTTGGGTCTGGGGTTGGGGAGGAATTACTGGTATACACAGGCTTGTTGGGCCAGGGGTTTTTAGAAGGGAAGACAGAATAGTAAAGTTCCATGAAGGTAGAGAGGCTGGGTTTCCTGAATCAGACTGCCTGAGTTCAAATCCTGATTCTGCTACTAGAGTGTGGAGTGGCTTTGGGCAAGACATGTAATTGCTTGAACCTTAGAAGACGCCTAAAGATTATGGGATTTCAAGAAGTCTCCTACTAATCCATGGGAATGGACTAATCCTTAAATAACAGGTGTATTTATATGGGCAATCTCGGGGGATGGGGTGGGAAACTTCTCTGGTTCCCTGGAATTAGAAGAAAGGCAAGCAGGAGCTGAAAGCGAGGGTGGGGCTTGACTGGTAGCTGTTGTCTAGGTAACCTCCCACACAGCTTTTGACACCTTTCACAGGCCCTGCCGGCCACTTCCGGCATCGGACGGTTGAATCGTGACGTCACTTCTCGTACTGAGGTCCGCCCGCGCACTCGGATTAGCCAGCCTTCTCCCTTTGGCCGGATGTCCCGCCCTCTGGCTGTTCCCCGGCTAGCGCGGGGCGGCAGTAGCTATGGCGGCTGTGACCGATGTGCAGCGGCTACAGGCCCGTGTGGAGGAACTGGAGCGCTGGGTGTACGGGTCGGGCGGGCCGCGCGGCTCGCGGAAGGTGAGCGATCTAGGATCCAGTGCTCTCTTTCTGGGGCCGAGCAAGAGCGGTCTACTGGCATGGTCCTCAGGATGGATGCAACCGCTCCAGTCTCATCGCCTGCAGCCCGGCCTTTGAAATAACAAAGGTTCGAAACCTTCCGGAGCTTATAGGACCCTCGGGGTCCATTTCCATGGAGGGCACTGCGGGTTGTTAGGACCGATTGCGATGAGCCTAGTGTGAACTGTGACTAAGACTCCGCCTCTGTTTTTGCGGGCTAGCTGGGGAGACCTGACACACTGGAGAAGCTAAGAGTTTCAGTAAGAGCTGAAGTCCACAATGGAAGGGCTGTCTTGAAGCCCTGCATAGTTAATTGCTAAATATTGTACAGAAAGAGGTCCATGGGACGCCAGAGGAGTCAGAGCAAAGGTGGATAAGGGTGGTTCCAGGGATGGGAGGTGAGGTCTGAAAGGCAGGATTAGGAGGGAAAGCGGTCGGATACCTGGTGTTTAGATATGGACCAGCACTCCTTCACACCAATGACTGAATTTTGCCAACTGCGAAGCTTAGTTCTCCCAACCCCTGCCCCCAATCCCCTTTATACTATGGGAAGACCTTTTACTGAAGGTGGAGTGTCCGGCATACCCTGGAGTAAGTGCATCAGAGGTAATGATGTCTTCTTGTACATTTGTTGTGGAGTTAGTTGTCACTAGAAGATTGTGCCCCATTTGAGAACTGATTTCTCAAAACATTCGCTCCCTTTGACATCTCTGACACTAAATCCTTGTTTTCTCCTACCTCTATGACTGTTGCTGCTTAGTCCTATTTGCCTCTCCATATATTTGACCCTTGAGTATTGGCATTCCTCACCCTGCATTCTAAAACCTGGGTGAGATCATTCACTCCCATAGCCCCTCCCTCTGTTTGACCATTTAATATTGGAATTTCTCACCTTCTACGCCTAAAGCCTAGGTAGGTTCAGCCAGAGAGATAGAAACCGGTGAATATATAGGATATGCTAATGCCCTATGGACTTTAATATAGTTAATTACCTCCTCAATCAGACTTGAAACTTCCCAAGGACTACATGATTGTCTTCCCCTTCACACTGAGGATTCCTAGAAGGTGGGGTTGCATCTCCTTTAATACAAGAGGAAGGGGCCAACCTACTTTGCTGGAACAAGGAGATTTGGAATCTAAGAGAATGAGGGTTCTTTACCTCTTTCAAGCCTTGAGTCAAGAGGTGAATCTTGAGATTAACTTTCAATCCCTTTACAGGTGGCTGATGGCCTAGTCAAGGTACAGGTGGCTTTGGGGAACATTGCCAGCAAGAGGGAGAGGGTGAAGATTCTGTACAAAAAGAGTAAGTGATTCCATAGGGTGCCTGCCTGCCTGCCTTCCCATGCCTATGCTTCCTGGGACTTGGCCATTGCCCTCCAGCCCAGTAGTCACTGGAATCACCCTATGGGGATAGAATTTGAAGATGTTTCCCTGCTAAAATGGTGAAGTGGGGTGTTGTGCTTAAACTCCAAGCCCATGACAGTGTCCTAAGTTGTGGGATAAGAACTCTGCATCAGAGGTCCTCTTGGTGAAGTAGAGAGGAGAGGTATGGGATTTTCAAAGGCAGAAAAGAAATTAGGCACTGAGAGCCCCAGGCTTTTCCAGCCATACCTTTTTGATTATGTCAAAGCAAGCAACCTAAAAAATCAGAAAAAGCTCTGGCTTGTCTTGGTGTCACTGAGAGGCAAGGGACCTTCCACCTTTTGTGAAGATAGGTCAGCAGGTGTGCCGAGGGCCCCAAGATGGTGGAGCAATTGTGTTCCCAGCTATAAATGCTGAGGTTAGCCAGGAGGTGGTCAGAGGGGAGAGATGGGGAAGTGGGGCCTGATGGAGGCCTGCTGATGGACACTGGATGTTATCTCCTCACTCAAGGCTCTCCCCAAGGTTGACCACTAATATCCTTCATAAGATTCCCCCCTCCTCAGCCCCATTCCATGTTTCCATCTTGCTTCTTTTCTAGTTGAAGACCTGATCAAATACCTGGATCCTGAGTATATTGACCGCATTGCCATACCTGATGCCTCTAAGCTGCAGTTCATATTAGCAGGTAGTGCTGGACAATGTGTGTACATGCATCTGGGGATTATGGATTGTGGGGGGAGTTGGGCACAGAGATGGCCTCCCTGCCAGTCCTCTCATGGATACAGCTTCTGTCTGGAATTCTGGTCTAGCCCTGGGCTAAGGACTGAGGTCTTCCTGTGGTCTTCTAGTAGGCCTTGGGTGTGGTATAATTCTGAGCCAGTTGCAGGCCATGGTGCCAATAGCAGTGGGAACTACTTCAGTGTTCTATCAAAGGTCTGTCTCTATGATTTTCCTTCAGAACCTTCCTAATTTCTGCTCACTAGATAGAGGAGCTTCTAGGAAAGGGCGGGAACAGAGAGCATTGCTTTTGGGAGAGGTGAGAATATTGGCACGAATTCCAACATTTTTTTCTTTCATGTGAGAAAGCACTGGGATTTCAAAGTTCTCAGCAGGACCTATTGACTTGGCAATGTCTCCTACTCAGTTTAGTCAGCCACTCCATGAGGTAGGGTTTGCCAAGTACCTGTGTTTGTTCATTCATTCAAAAGATGTTTAATGATTGATCATCTACTGTGATCCAGACCATCCTTGGTGTCAGGTAACAGTGGTGAACCAGAACATTCCTGAACCATTGCCGTGGCTCAGGTACCCAAGTTCAGGAGATCTTCTCCTACACTGACTCTGGAGTCCAGCCTCTCCATCCCTCCCTGGCCACTGCCTCAGTGTCTGTCCCCTCATACGTGAATAGTTGCAGTCTCCTAAGTTCTCTTCCTGACCCTAGGCTTTCCCTTCTTGCATGTGATCCAGTATCCTCCTCCCCAAACACATCTCCAACATGCTACTTTGTCTACTTTGGAATCTCAGCATCTCCATCTCTCTCCTTGCTAGGATAAAATCCTAATTCCTTAGCCTACCATTCAGAGCCTTCTATAGTCTATAGGTCTACCTTCCCATGCAGTTGTTTCCTGTGTTCTCTTTACTCCAGGTCAGTCAGTTGAATTATTTTTCCTATGTGAATTAAAAAGCATTCTTGCCTCCAAACATTTGACATTAACAGTGATCCCTCTGCAATATGCTTCCCACTCCCTGCAGTCATAATCACCCATGCAAGGTCCAGTCCAGTGCCTGCTCTTTTCCCTGGGCTCTGCTACTACTGTCCCAGCTCTCTAGAAGCTTGTAATTATCGCTGTCTCTCAGGGCCAGTGAGCAGAACCTGCCTGATAGTCTGTCACATGTCTCCTCTTTCATACCTTCTCAGAAGGCTTTGGGTGTGGAGACCTAGGTCTGAAGGATGGCGTCAGAAGGACTCACTGAGTTTGTTGATAGGAGGCTAGAGTAAGAGGCCTTAGAGTTACAATGTTAAGAAAGGTGGGATTTGGAGAAACTTAGAGGCTTCTTGGCCTCAAGAAGTGTCATACCAGAGGCATCTAGGAGAGGTGGGGACAGAATGGGGGAATGAGCAGAGTAGCTGCTCCATGCTTCATGACTCAGCCATGTCTCCTGGCAGGTTCTTAGCCCCTTGTATAGGAATAGCAGTGCCTATGCTTGCCTCACTGCCACTGTCTTGTATGTTTATGCCTCAGAAGAGCAGTTTATCTTATCCCAGATTGCACTCCTGGAGCAGGTGGAGGCCTTGGTGCCCATGCTGGACAGCGCTCACATCAAAGGTACTTATGTGGGGCTCTAGCTCTACTATTCTGCTTGGGGAGGTGGATGGATGGACAAGTCTTCCCTGTGCCTTAAATTACCTGGGTTCAAGCTAAGTCTGCTCCTTTTCTTTACCCTCATCCTGTCACCCACAATGGGAGTAAAATTTCCAGAGCAGAATTCAGTTTCAGAACCTCAGACAGTTTGGACCTAAGGATACTAGTGTAAGTCCAGCAACCCCCAACTCTGGGTACCCCTTCTACCTTCTTCCTCATTCCTCAGCATCTGTTCTACAGGGTGCTGTGTAGCCCAGATTTTACTGTAAGAGTTCCCGCCAGGCATGTGAATGTGTGTAAATTCTTCCCACTGCACTGTTGAAAGCATTTCCTGGGCCTGAGTTTTGACAAGCAGACAGTGACTTTAATTGAATCCAGATATCCATCTTGTCTGTCTCCGGAGGTATTTTTTTCCCAGTTCCCCCTCCCTACCCCTGATCAGCTATCTGCTGAGGGTCTGACACACTTAAGCTGTGGGCCCAGCATGGTGGCCAGGGCTCTGGGTGTTGGGATCCAGGTGTCCAGCTTAGGAACCTGGCATTCATCTTCAGCCCACCTCAGACTCTGTCTTCCAGGCAGACCTAGTCCCACTGGGCTGAGAGCAAAGAGACAGATCCCATGATAGGCAAAGGTTTCTTTACTTCACCCTGCTTACAGCACTGGGTGGGAAAGGAGGGGCAGGGGCAACTCTGGGGACCTCAAGGTTTTGTTTTCTCCTAGGGGCCTGTATCTTTGCCCCCTCTGGGTCCTAGAGTAACTGGGGTGGGGAGGGAGCCTCACCACCTTTAGCTGCAGTGGTCGATGAAGCCTGGCGTTTGCTTAGCTTCTCCACTCAATATTTTAATCCTGCTGAAGACCTAATAGACTATTGAGCAGTCCCGGGGGAAGGCACAAGCATCATCAGGCAATGCGTATTGTGTTTTACAGCCGTTCCTGAGCATGCTGCCCGCCTGCAGCGCTTGGCCCAGATCCACATCCAGCAGCAGGTATGGGAGGGGAGAGGACTGGAGGGGAAAGTAGAAGTGGTGAGGCTCCTAGTCCCCAGCCCTGCCACCTGCGAAAGCAGCCTCAGGCTACCCTCATGTCAACTCCAGGGGAAACTTGAAGGTTAATCCTTTATCTTCCATCTCTTGGCTCTCTGAGTAGGACTATTCTGAGACACCAGAAGGTTGATGATGGGAGGTACCCAGGAATTTCTGGGGATGATGTGTCCTTGGCTATGGGTGCAGGAGCTGGTTTTTTTTTTTTTTTTTTTTTTGTTTGTTTTGACTATTCTGAGGCCTAAGATTAAAGTTCAAAGAGGATTCAGATACAGGGGACAGGAGAGAGGACATATACAAGCAGGAATGTTTCCTTAAATATGTGATCCATTCCCCCTTAGGACTGCTGTTGGGGGTCCCTATCCTGGAGCCTGAAAGTGCCCCATTAGAAATTTGTTCCATTTGGCTCTGGAGTTAAACACTACTTTTTCTAGGCTTTATGGGGAGTGAGGGTCCTTGATAAGGCAGAAAGTTAATGGGAAGTGGGGTCTTTATCCAGCTTCTTTCTCTGCCATATATTGGCCCCATAGGACCAGTGTGTGGAGATCACTGAGGAGTCCAAGGCTCTCCTGGAGGAATACAACAAGACTGTATCCTTTCTGCTCAGCCAGTCCCCTAAGAAATGCTGTCCAAAGCCCTGTCATTTTGTTCTTTCTCCAGCTCTCTCATCCCATCCCAACAAACCTGTCTATTCCCCTCCTCTCCAACCCTTTGGCAGATGTAAAATCTCTCCACTCCCTCATTCAGGCTCTTGTTTTCACCTTGACCTGCTACCAGACAATGCTTCTCTCCAAGCAATTTGTGCAGTGGGATGAACTGCTTTGCCAGCTAGAGGCCGCTAAGCAAGTGAAGCCAGCAGAGGAGTAATGGCTGCTTCCCATTCCAGGGTGGGCCAGGACGGCAAGGCTCAGGACTCAAAGTGCGAAACTGCCTTTGTAACAGGGCAGAAGCAGCTCTGTATTGGATTCACAACCTACCTATCTGCATTCAGGTGGGGCTCGGAGGTCAGAGGTCTGGCTACTTGAGGTTTGCTGTTTGCACTCCCTCCCCACATTAGTGTCCTATTCCAGTAACAATAAACTATAGAAATCACTGGAGGAGTGGTGCTAACTTCCTGGTCTAGGATGGGAATGATGGTGAGGAAGGGGGTGGTAGAGGGCAGAATTGCCAGCCTTCTTAGTGGTTGAACCAGGAGTTCTACTCATCATAGTTTGGCTTTCTGGGAGATGTAGAGCTCTCAAGACAAATGCTCTCATTTGATTGATATCAGTGGAACATTTGTTTGTGCATCCATTTATCCCACATTTATCAAGTATCCTCTAAATGTCAGATCCCATGTTAGGTGGGGAGGACATGATCCCTGCCCTACACAGACTAGCTGGGGAGACAGTGAAAGAAAAGTCATCCCACCAATCAGGCACTGGGTCCTCTAGGGTACAGAAGAAAAAGGGATGGGGGAGGCAGCCCTGGAAGGTGATGTGCAGTGTATTTGAGAGCCAGGGGAGAGCATATGCAAAGGTAGAGAGGATCCTTGAGGTTTCTCTCTTGGGAGCTTACTTGGTGCTATTAAGTAGGAAAAGGATGCCAGAAGACTGTTGGTTGCTGGGCTTTGGGCTCAGGGGTGGGGATGGGCAATGTGTGTGTATGGAGGGGTGTGGTTTGCTGGGCTGGAGAGGGAGGGAGCCAGATGATAAAGAACTGAGCCGGGAGATTGGTGCCTCACTCCACCAAGTGTTTGCTGCCCCCTTGTGGTCATAGGGAGTGCTGTGGCCCCAGACCCCTCTTCAACGAACTGCCCGCCACCCAACCTGCACAGTTTCACTAGCCTCTCAAATTAATCATGTCTTAATTCAGACTGAAACTTTTAGTCATCCTAGACTCTTCTCTTCTTCTCAGTCCAAACAGTCACCAACTCCTCACTAAACCTGCCTCCTAATATCTCCCAACTTAATGTACTTTTTTCTATCCCAACTGCTATTTCCTTTAAATTCTCTGAAACATTTAACAAATATCTGAGCGCCTATTATACGCTGGGCACCATACAAGTCTCCGTGGACACGCCCCCGGCGCCCCATGGTCCTTTCCTTGGCGGTGGGGGTCCAGTTTCCCCACTCCCACCCGCCTTGGCGGCAGCCAGAGTGTGTGCACACAGACCGGTGTAATTGGCCCCTGATGAAAACCCTCGGTGGCCTCTTGCCCTCAGAATGTGGTCGAAGCTCAGAACTCGGTGACCAAGGCTCTGCCTCCGCGCAGCAGCAGCCACTGTAAACGGAACCTCTTGCCCCCCGTCCAAAATGAAACCCACTGCTTCGTTTCTGCTATTGCGGTGGGCTCTACCGCTGACGCAAGCCCTGCCATCTCGTCAGGGCCGGATCCTCTCCATCTTTGGGACGCGAGTCTGATGGTGGCTCCTCTCCGCTGGGTTCTTCTGTGCCCCTGCCCCAGGGCGTAACAGCGGAGGCGGCCTGCCTGTTCGTGGTCCCGGGGCGTCCGGGCTCCCCCGGCTTTCCCGCGGGGGCTCCGCGAGCCCTGCCCCTCGGGCCCCGCCCCTGCCCGGCGTGCGCGGCCCCGCGGCTTCGGCGCGCGCTCGGCCTGCGCGCCATCTTGGCTCCAGATCGACTTGGAGGCGTGCGCAGCCCCGGCGGTGAGAGCTGGAGCTCAGCGGGGTCGGGGGTGCCTGAGGTACAGGGAGGAGACGGAGGCTGGCTCCCTGGTCTCTGCGGCCTGCTGGGCTTTGGGGTCCGCTCGTGGCGGTGGAGCGGGCGGAGCTGTGGGCCCCGCTCCAGGAGTAGCCCCTGCAGCCCCCCGCGTCGAGCCGGGCCTTCCGAGTTCCAGTGACCTGGGTTGGGGGCCTCGACACGGAATCTCAGGGTAGTGGGTGCTCGGCCCTATTCTGAGGACCCCCAAGTTGGGGAGGGGTACAGTTCTGTTTGAAGAGCATTGCACGAGGGCTCTTGTCTCTTGCCAGGGAGCTTGGGGTGTAGTAGGAACGTCAGCGAGCGAAGTGAGGGGCCTTGTCCCTGCCTTAGAGAGCTGTGGGTGAGGGGCGCTCCGGCTAGTTTGAAGAAGTCTAGGGCAGGGGTGTAACCGGGACACGGTGCAAGAGCACCAGGCTTGGGGGGTCCCAAACAGACCAGGTTCTGCCACTGACAAAATCCAAAGGCAGAGTGATGGCGAAACAAGAAAGGAATTTATTTCAGTGGGGTTAGCACTGAGAAGACAGCAGACTAGACTCAAAGACTGTCTTCAAAGAAAAAAAAAAAGACTGTCTTCAAAATGCTGACTATTTCTAGGTTTATTTATATAAGGAGAATGTGGGACAAAGGTAGGTGCAATGGGCAGTAAAGGGCAGGTCCATCATTGTCTTAGGTCCAATCAAGAGGGGGATCCTGCTGGCCTTAGGGCCGTCCTTATTGCTCCAGGGGTAGTTTTGGTTCCCTTCAAGGGATGGGATGCTTTGTCTGCAGGGTGTTTTGCCTGAGTTAAAAGTAAGCTAGAGGAGCGCCTGGCTGGTTCAGTAGGTAGAGCATGCAACTCTTGATTTTGAGGGTCATGACTTCGAGCCCTACATTGGGTGTAGAGCTAGAGCTTACTTAAAAAAAAAAAAAGATAGGCTGGAGATGCCATAGGCATCTGTGCTGAGAAGTGGGGGTGGGGGAGAGGGGGTGGAGTGTGTGTGTGTGTGAGGGGTTATAGTCCTGTTCCTGGTAAATATGGGATGAGGAGCAGAACCATTTGCTGGAGAGCTGGGGCTGGGGGTGGCTTGGGGCACATTGCCCAACATTCATCTGATACTTCCCTGCAGTGGGCCGTGAAGTCCAGACACCACAGCAAGTGGGATGGAGCACTATCGGAAAGCTGGCTCTGTGGAACTCCCAGCACCTTCTCCAGTGCCCCAGCTACCTCCTGATACCCTGGAGATGCGGGTCCGAGATGGCAGCAAAATCCGCAACCTTCTGGGGCTGGCACTGGGTCGATTGGAGGGTGGTAGTGCACGGCATGTGGTGTTCTCAGGTTCTGGCCGAGCCGCAGGGAAGGCAGTGAGCTGTGCTGAGATTGTCAAGCGACATGTACCAGGCCTGCACCAGCTTACCAAGCTGCGCTTCCTGCAGACTGAAGACAGCTGGGTGCCAATCTCACCTGACACGGGCCTGGATCCCCTCACAGTGCGCCGCCATGTACCTGCAGTGTGGGTACTGCTTAGCCGGGACCCCCTAGACCCCAATGAATGTGGCTACCAGCCTCCAGGAGCACCCCCTGGCCTGGGCCCCACATCGAGCTCCAGCTGTGGCCCACGACCCCGAAGAAGGGTTCGAGACACTTGGTCCTGAAGATCTGCGGAGCAAGCTATTTTCCAGGCATGACTATCTAAGAATGGCTTTACCTTCTCTGAAGAGCCTCTTGTAACTGCTCAACATCCCCAACAAGACCTGAATCTGCACAAGTGGGCCTCCCTGTCGGGCTTCCCCTTCTGTCTGGTGTGTGAAAAGGGACTGCTATGAAGAGTACAGGTGTGCGGTCTCAGCTGGGTTCTGGATTGCTTAAGAAGGGTTTACTTGGCATTCTACCTGTTGTGCCTCTGTTCTTTATTCTGACAGAGATCCAAGGAGTGGGTTAGGAAATAAAGGTTCTGCCCATTTGTCTGATGAGCATCTGCTTGACCTGCTATGTGGAGGTGGGATTAAAGTAGGGAGAGTCCCTGTACCCTCTTCCCTACCCCAAGTTCAGGGACATTTTTCTTTCACTGCAACATTTATTACAGTTTAGTGGTTAAGGTCATGGTCTCAGGTATTGACTGCCTGGATCTGAATCCTGGTTCTGCCATTTGCTAGTAAGTTACTGCTCTGGACCTTGGGCAAGTAGTGCTCTGAGCCTTAGTGTTCCCATCCATTATAACAAGATATATGTGGTGCTTACCTCATAAGGTTGTTATGAGGATTGAATATAGAAATATACACCTATGACTCTTAGATACCTCCTGGGCATGTAGTACTATGTAAACGTTAATTGCTATCATTAATGACTTCACTTACAAACATGTTTTTTCTATCTTAAAAACATAGCTCATGGGACACCTGGCTGGCTCAGTTGGAATATCATGTGGCTCATGATCTCAGGGTTGTGAGTTCAAGCCCCATATTGGGTGTAGAGATTACTTAAATAAACTTAAAAAAACAAAACAAAAAAAAAAAAAAAACAAAACCCAGCTCAATCTGATATCTCCCCTCCAGATCTCATTCTTCATTTTTAGCGGTTGCTGCTCCTTTTCTGTCTCAACTTGGCCTTAGATTCTGATTCACCATGGTAAGGTCAGGGGCATGAGGAGAGAGGTGATGATTGCAGTGGTCACCAGGAGTCTGCAGGGACCAGAGCAGGATTGTGAGCAGTGGTAGATTCAGTAAAGAGTTGAGTCAATTGGATTTCCCACTAGACTTTGATGTCTTGTCTAATGTATCCAGTAGACTGAGTGTCCAGTCACCAGGAAAGCACAGACTTGGAGCACTTCTGGGCTCACATTATGGCATGGAGGGCCCAGTAATTTGAGAGTGTTGATGTTCGGCTGAATCTAGGTGGGAAGGGTTAGGATGTTGGGAGAAATGGAGGACTGGAGGCCTCAGTAAGGGCTTTGGGCAGGGGTGAGGGGACCATAAGGCCAGAAGGCTGTGGTCAAGCTTTGAATCCTGTGTCCTATGCTTTCCAAGGTAGGTTGCCCAGAGTGATAGGGAAGGCTGAGGGAGGGGCAAGGGATGCAGATTCAGGGGATATTAGAGATAGGAAACGCTCTGAATAGATGCCCAGCCAGCCCTCTCAAATACAGAGGGTCAAGGAACATCTAACACACCCCTAGAAGCTGTGGTAGACTCGTGTCTTGCTAGCAGCAACTGCCTGACTTCTCCCCATTCTGTTTGTGTCTAACTCAAGTTTTTGCTCCTTCCTAGCTTCTGCATGTTGCCTTTTCTCTAAGCATCTCCAGTTGTGTGTCTTCTACCATGAACAGCTGTCCGAGTGTCACTAGTCCCCAGAGCTTTAGGGCCAGGCCACTGGCCAACTGTTCATATGTGGCTCAGCATCCTATCCTGATTCAGCATGCA